CCCCCCTGCGGGGGCCCCCCCCCCCCCCCCCCCCCCCCCCCCGCCCCAGACAGGGTTTCTCTGTGTACCTTGGCTGTCCTGGAATTTGCTCTGTAGACCAGGCTGGCCTTGAACTCATAGAGACGTAGGCCTGCCTCTGCCTCCTCAGTGCTGGGATTAAAAGGATTTCCCCAAGCCTCACAACAGCCTCCTTAGAAGCCCTCACCCACGGACTCCCCCACCACTTCCGGAGGTCTAATTCCAACCCTCTTAAACTGCCATTCAACCATCACTCTTTGCTTTGGGGTGGGTGTGAATTCCATGAATCTTTTCATATAGTCACTCAACAAACTTCTCTTGAGTGCACCGACCGAGACAAATGTGTGTATATCTGTCCTGAGAAGCCTGCCCTCTGAAAGCTTCCCGTGGAATTTTAATGCCGAAAACATCAGCCTGACACAAAGTGCAGCTCGCTGGGACTAAAGTGCTCAGCAGACAGCGCTCTCCCTTCATGGACATTGCTTCGGAACGCTGGAAATTTTCAAAGCCCTTTCCAGGTGGACCAGAGCGCCAGCAGAGTGGGTGGGGATGGTGGTTTCTATCTTGCTTTGGAATGTCGGGATTTGTTTTGGATGTTCTGAACATCAGGTTGGAGATACACGCAACGCGAAGGGGTTCCTAACCACATCAGGGTCAGAGGCAGCCCAGGACACCGTCTCCATGGTGCGCAGCCCCAGACAGTTGTGAAACAAACAAAAACCCATGGTGGAGAGTGGACAAAGGAAAAAAAAAAAACCACCAAAAAAAAAAAAAAAAAAAAGCAAACAAAGGCCAAGAGATGGAAAACTTGGAGGTGGGGTAAGGGGAGATGTGGTGAGACCGTAAAGAGGGGGGTGGGAGTGTTAGAGGGGCTTCGTGAGGGGTGTGGTCATGTTTGTGTGTGAAGAACAGAATCCAATCCCAGGGCCTAAAAGTCACTATGGCAACGGGGAGGGTGAGTTCGGCAGATTGCATGCCAACACAAACCTCCTGGGCTTAGCCGTGGATGGGCGCAGATGTGATGCGGCCATGTTATAAAGAAAAACACCTGAACTGGGCTCTTTAAAATCACCTCCCCAGCCCTGGCCTGGCCTGGGAGGCAAGTGCCATTTAATGGAATGAATTAATCATGACCGGCACTGAAACACATACGCTCCTCTCTCATTTACACGGGCACGCACTAGTAGCTCACAGGATTCTGGGCCCTTCGAAGCTGGCTTCCTACCTGGGAGAGACCCACTTGACACCTCTCTGAATGCTGCATTCCAGACCATGATGTGTAGTTGACAGAGCTGGGAGGGTGCTTCTCACAAGGCCAAAGCAGCAGGGGCCCCAGTGTGAGGTGGTGGCACCTGAGCACCCCTGACCTCCTCTGCCATCAGCTGTCCGGGGATGTTCCTCCCCAGTGGGTACATTAGACAGAGAGGAAGCTGTTTCCTCCTGAGCCCCACCCCAAGGTTCCCAGCTTGCCTTCCCCAGAGCTATTGTTCAGATGGCATCTGGCTTAGGCTTAGGGTAGGGGCTGAGTGGAGTTGAGTCTTTTAGGCCTTGTTTCCTTCCTGGCTGATCATTTCCCGATACTCGGAGGTCTCACCGCACCTCACACAACTAACTCTCCTCATGGCCAGTGCACCTATGAGACAAAAGAAGCTCGGTGCTTCAGACCCATAGTTGGGGAATGTTTTAAGTTCTTTTAAAACCAAAAGGGGAGAGCATGCCTTTCTTTAATCCCAGCACTGGGGAGGCAGAGGCAGGCGGATCTCTGTGAGTTCAGGCTAGCCTGGTCTACAAGAGTGAGTTCCAAGACAGGCTCCAAAGCTACACAGAGAAACCCTGTCTCAAAAATCAAAAACAAAACAAAACAACAAAAAAAAATGGAGTTTTTCAAGTAAATAGCATGTATCTCCAACTCCAAGGGATCTGAAGCTCTTCTGGTTTCTCTGGGTGCGCACACACACACACACACACACACACACACACGTGCACACACACACCCTTAAAAAAAAAACAACAAGGGGGCTGGAGAGATGGCTCAGTGGTTAAGAGCATTGCCTGCTCTTCCAAAGGTCCTGAGTTCAATTCCCGGCAAACACATGATGGCTCACAACCATCTGTAATGAGGTCTGGTGCCCTCTTCTGGTCTGCAGACATACACACAGACAGAATATTGTATACATAACAAATATAAATAAATAAATAAATAAAGCCCAGAATATTCAATGCAACCCCTTTTCTGTGGGTTTGGCAGAAGCTCCACCTAGCTCTGAGGATGGGTATGAGAAGCTAGAACTCCAGTTCTGCTGTTTCCTCCTGGTGGACAAGCTATTAAGCTTTCTGGCCTGCCTTCACCTTATCTGCTAAAGTACACAGGCCTGTAATAAACAACTGTGGAGACCAAATACACAGCACACATATACAGTCTATGGTAGCGGTCCTGTTGTCCTGACTAAGTGTTTCTCCTTTCTAGTATCTCAGGACACCAGCTTCCCCCTGAAATGCTGTCTACCTGCCCACACTGCTGGACTGCCAGCTCCTGGTGGGTGACTTGATCCTACTTGCACCCCTATGCATAGCACACAGCAGCTGTTCACGTCCGTGAGGTCAGCGCCTACAAGTCCCACTGCCACTCCTATCCACCATGAAGGAAAAGAGTAAGGTTCTTAACACTGAGCACAGCTGTGGACAGTCACAGAGACAGCTTGGATATTTAGGAAAATATCTTTATTGTTTTTTAAACTGTCCTACTATTTGATTTAAAAAGCATAGTAGTGACTTTTTCACAAACTTTACAAATTGTAGAAAATGATTTTCTCATTCTCTATGAAAACCTCATTCCCGTTCAACAGGGCTCTTTTCTGGTTGAAGCCTGGCAGGAAGGAGGGAATGAACAACACAGCACGGGCAGCTGGGGACTCTCTCCTCACACACTAAAGCTCAGGCTGAGTCCCAAAGACGACGGCTCCTCTGAGGGAGACCCAGCCCATGAAGGTGTGTGGCCAACTGAGGCAGGCCTCTCTTTTGAAGGCCAGCAGGCCCCTGAAGGCCTAGAGTGTTGTTTATCAAGGCAGCTTCGTGGGAATGAGGACCACAGCGAGCTTATGGCTTGGATCCTTTTCCCTGTAACACAGCCAGGAAAGAGGCTGTGGACCCAGGCCACTTGGTGCTCCAGGTTTAGACTTCTCCCTTTTTATTTGGCTCACAGAGGCTAATTTGTCAGTTACTTAAAAATAAACAACAACAAAAACAGAAAACAAACATTTGGTTCCGTTTCAGCTGTAATCAGAGTTGTCCATTTTTAGAAAACGATGACAGAGCTGCTAGTTGTTAAATCTGCATTTTGTTATCCGCTGAGGCTCCTTCTCTTGTGTGCTTAAGGAGGGAGGGAGGGACAGCTGTAGTAGAAACCGTTTGTTGATCTGAGAAAACCGTTCAAATGTTTTGCACCCGCAGACTAAAGCCGATGGAATCCCCAAATGATCCCACTGATCTGAATGAGAAACACGACCGTCCCTCTTGGGTGTCTTGAGTCAAAACAAGGCAACCACTTAGTGATTTATCACCCCAAGTTCTCTCTTCCAAAAGGCATTAGAGAAAGGGCCAGCCTCCATCCGAGCGATTGGAAACACCACCGACAGCTTGGACACTTTGCTTTTAAACGCAGCAGGAGTTATTTTCCCGTTGGCCTTGGCGGAAGAGCTAACTCCCTAGACTATTTAGGAAGAAGCAGACAAGTGAGGGGCCGAGGGTCCCCACTGACTGGACTGTGGCTGGGCACATCATCAAAGGCAATCAGTACATGTATGGCATATGAAAACTGTCCTGTGCACCCCCTGCAGCTGGTCCACAAACTCGGCCTGACTGGATATGGGATGCAGGAGGTAGAGGACAAGCTTCCGTAAGGCACACGGTGAGTGGCCCCCACTCCAGGTGCCCATGATCATCCCTTCACTCGGTTCCAGAAGTGCTGGAAAGCAGAGGAGTTGGCGACACTCACAATGAGCAGCAGCAGCAGATACAGGGACATCATAACCATGAACCAATGGCTGGACAACCAGGAGAGCTGGCGTGAGGCCCTGCCCAGAGGGAAAAAGAGAGTTGGCAACTCGGGAAAAACATTTTTTGTTTTAAGTGTATGCAAGAAGTTCTGGCTCAGAGAACACGACATGATGGATTTCATCCTCTGTAAGCCTCGAAGGGAAGCTTCGTGCGGCTCTGCCCGAGAGACCTGGGGCTGTTGGCCCTGGCACCGCCAACTCGCCTTTCAACAGAACATTTTCTAACTGCACAAACACGGCTATGCAATGAGCTCACCCACTCTTCCCCGGTTAGCTCCTCTATTGCCTTTTATAACTCGCTTTTCTTAAGGCTTTGGTATTTAAAAGGATGCCCCATCTCAGGGTATCTGCACAGATGGTCGCAAGCTCCTTAGCGAAGGTCTTTTCTGTATGAGCAGAGACAAATGTGAGCTGGGAGAATCTTTTTTATTATTGTGTGTGTGTGTGCATTTGTGTGTGTGCGCGTGTGTGCGCGTGTGTGTAGAAGCCAGAGGATGGCTGGGTGAGAGTCAGTTCTCTCCTTCCACCATGTGGGTCACAGAGACGAACCTCAAGCTGTCAGGCTTGGTGGCAGGCGTTCTCACCAGCCTGGGAATCTGTGTGCTACACTGGGAGGTGTCCTAAGCCATCCAAATGTGCACAGAAAACACTCACTAGGGAGTTAAGAATGGAGTTTTTCAAGTAAATAGCATGTATCTCCAACTCAAAGGAATCTGAAGCCCTTCTGGTTTCCCTGGGTGCACGCACACTCGCGTGGGTGCATACACACATACACAACCTTAAAAAAACAAAACAAACAAAAAGCCCAGAATGCAACCCCTTTTCTGTGGGTTTGGCAGAAGCTCCACCACAGACTCCAACAACATAATAAGACGACAAAATGACAGTCCCCCTAGGGACCCTGAACATCTTCCTGTCACCATGCTACTAGATGGAATGGGATGTGGCCTCCTCTACAGTCCTCCAGAGCTAAAGGCCCTCATCTGTTGCTGGGGTCAACCCTCTTCTCTCTTTCTTTATTTCATATCGTCTGCCATACTGGGGATCGAACCCAGGGCCTTTGTGTGCCAGTCAAGCACTCTACCACTGTGCTACGTCCTTGACATCAACTCATTAGCGAGATAAAGATGAAGAAGCATCTGGGTCCATGGCAGGTTCAGCTGAGCTGCACATTCTCAGCCACTGCCTGGTTCCCATCCTGCCTCTCGACTCAATCTCTGGAATGGAGTTCAGACAAACCAATTTGGGAGCCCTAGTTTGATTTCATGTACCCCTCAAACAGGCTTGTTTCCAAACCAATCTTCCCCACTAGTATGTTTGGTCCCTTTGGAGACAGAGCTACATGCGTCTTCTCTACCTCTTCCCTCAGGTGTCCAGCATCATGGGGCGCTTGCTTTACACACATCGGAGGCCCGAGGCTGAGGGAGAGATGATGCTGACAGCTGAGCGATCAACACTCTGAACACAGCAGCCACCTCCTAAGTTCACGCAGGGACCACCTGCTTACCTCCTCGGCTGTTTCTGGGAATACACCAGCAGGTACTTCACCCGAAGAAGTTGGTTGTTGGTGACTACGAAGTACTTAGGAGGGACATCTCCCCCTTCACTGTGCTTGATCCTTGCTCTGCTGCGGTCAATTTCCTTGGTATCTGAAAAAGGAGAGAGAAGCGCGCTTTGCCGGGTGTCGTGCGGGGTGGGGGGTGGGGGACACGGACGAGGCAAATTAGAAATAGAATTGAGTCAAGGTTCATGGTCCTGAGGCGCAAAGTCAGCAGGCTGAGGACTGCACCCGTGTTCCTGTGCGAATCAGGAGATTCTGGCAGGCAGGAAGACAAATGGGGAAGAGAGACTAGGAAAACAGAGAGAGGAAAATAAAGCCGCTGAACGGAACAAGCAGAAGGCAGACGCAATCGGAAGGCTGAAACGGCAGATCAGCATCATGTACCAGGCCAGGACCAGGACTCACCGGAGAGCAGAGAGCCTCAGCATGACTGCTTCTTTATTTATCTGTTTAGAGACCAGTCACCAGTGCCTGAACTCAGTGCCTAGCTAAGGGTGACCTTGAAACTCTGGCCCTCCAATCTTCTGAGTGCTGGGCTTGCAGGTTCACACTGCTGTACCAAGTTGATGCTGTGTTGAAGGTGAACTCAGGGACTCACACCTGCCAGGTGAATACTCTACCAATTGAGCTACAACCCCAGGGCCTAGGAGGCATTCTGAATAAATCACACTAGACTCGAGTTCTCAGAACACTCACTTCCACCAGGCCTGGTGGAGCACATCTTTGACCTCAGCACTTTTTTTTTTTTTTTTTTTTTTTTTGAGACAGGGTCACACTATGTAGTTCTGGCTGTCCTGGAACTCACAGTAGACCCACCTGCCTCTGCTGGGATTAAAGGCTTGAGAGGGACATAGAGGCAGGCATATTGCCTGTGAGTTCATGGCCATCCTGGTCTACAGCATGAGTTCCAGGACAGCTAGGGTTACAAACACAAAAACAGATAGACTTCCTCCACCACTCCTACTAAGACTTTTGTTTGTTTGAACTTGCTATGTAGCTGAGGGAAACCTTTAACTCCTGACCCTCTTCTCTGCGTCCCCAGTACTGGAATTACAGGCATCTATCGCTATGCCCTGCCCAGGATTTTAAGGGGAAAAAAAATTTTTTTTTCAGACAGGATCTTACTATGTGGCTCTGTCTAGTCAGGAACGACCAGCCTTGTACTCAGAGATCAGCCTGCCTCTGCCTCTCAGGTGTTGGGATTAAAGGTGTGCACCTCCACGCTAAGGCTAGTCCTTATCTGCTGATCCTCCTGTTCTACTTCCTACTCATGGAGACTACGGGCTCATGCCGCCAGCGCACCAGGCAAAACTTTTTTTGTCTTTTGTTTTTGTTGTTGTGGATTTTATGTGTACTTGTGCAGTGCTGAACCCAGGGCCTTGTACATGCTAATCAAGTACTTAAGTCTGGTCTGAGAGGGAGGGAGGACACTCTTTCCTGTTAACAACACAGAAAGGCTTTATCAAACACAAGCCAGGGTTCTGGGCAGCAGAGGCTGGGCAGTTGTGTTTTGATGTCTAATGTCTCCATATGCAAACTTGCTAAGAATTACGCACACGAGCGGGCGTTCGTGCTGTCTGGTTTGGGAGGGTGGCGTCAGACCTGGGCCTGTTCCTTGGGTCCAGTTGTTTCACATTAGAGGCCAGAACAGTTTGTGTCTTGAATTCTCCTCTTCTTAGTAAAGCCAACAGCCCAGTTTGAAGACAGGAATGACAGTCCTGTGACTCTTCTGCCTTGGAGGAGGGTGGCCCAGAGGGAGGCACTGGGCATGTAATCCAAGGGACACCTCAAGCCAGTGGAGTTGAGGTGGCTGCTAGCTATCTGCTCCTGGAGAGTCCATGGCCTCAGATGCCCCTCTGGTCGTCTGGGGATTCCAGCACACTCCAGCAGAGCACAGAGAATCTGGACCCATTATCCTTAGCTTTTGTTGAGCAAACCTTTATTGCATGTTAATTGAATACCAGGTTTTCTGATGATGCAAGTGCCCAGAAATAATAGCAAAATTCTGACTCCTAACGAGCCATGCCCTCACCTTACAAGTATGTAAGGTTTCCATTTGTCAAATCTTTTTTTCTTAATTTTTGGGTTTTTTGTTTTGGTTTTTGGTTTTTCAGGACAAGGTTTCTCTGTGTAACAACCCTGGCTGTCCTAGAACTGGATTTGTAGACCAGGCTGGCCTCAGACTCACAGAGATCTGCCTGCCTCTGCCTCCCAAGTGCTAGGATTAAAGGAGTGAGTCACCTCCTGTTTTTTTTTCCTTGATTTTTATTTTATATGTATGAGTGTTTCGCATGAATGTATGTATGTTCACCACATGTCTGGTACCCATGAGGCCGAAAGAGGATGTTAGATCCCAGCTGGTGTTACAGGTGGTTGTGGATCTCACAGTGTGGCTGCTAGACGCAGGGTTCAGGTCCTCTGGAAGAGTCTGCATTTGTTAAATCCTGCCTCCTTTCCAAAGCTTTCCCTGGGCATCTTGAACCCTCTCAGCTGCCTCTTGTCAGCCCCTCCCCAGAACTGCCTGACTCCTACCTGTAGTGTGATCTTTTCCTATCACGTGTTCCATCCCTGAGAAGCCATTCCCGTCCTTGCAGCCCAGCCTTCGTCCTGTCTGTGCTGCTCTGGACCATGCAATGGCCGTCCACCCCACACCTGAGCCAGAGCAAGGGCCGCAGCCAAGTCTGGGCCAGGCTCTCACTCACCCTTCTTCTTGGTTTGGCACTTGACATCTGGATGATCGATGACCTCACACACGGCTACACAGCTGAGGATTGGGCCGAGGAGGCTATGCTGCCACCCATGACCGTGTGGACTGTAAATGAGGGCCAGGCTCAAGTCACTCGTGAGGTAGGTCCCTTCTCCAAACAAAGATGTCTGGAAGAGCAGAGGCGAAAAGAGAAAACACACAAAACTGAATGGAGACTAGGTGTCACCAGATGGCATGTGTCCTTCTTCCACAGAGCTGGAAACAAACATTTTCACACTCCTCCCACCCCTTTAAGACAAATAACTTGATGTCATCATAGGGCTCATGACTAAACACATTCCCATCTGATCAGGGTTCAGCTGACAGGATCTGGCCACCTAGCCTGGCAAAGGAGCTGTACCTTGTGGTCAAGGTTGAATGGAAAAAACAACAACGATATCGGAGTCCAAACAGACCTCAGTTTTAATGTTCCAGTGAGTTACATAAATTCTGTGTTTCAGTTTCTGCACCTACAAAACGCTGTAAAAGTTCCTCCTCCACAAGCTTATGACCACGTTTCAAAGACATAAGGTAGGGCGGGGGGTGTAGCTCACTGGTAGAGCTCTTGCCTAAGCATCCAGTCCTCAGCAACACCACACACACAACTATACACAATGTACATAAAACAATGTGCATTTGAAGGCTATCTGGTGACAGTCACAAGTGGGCAGGCCATCACAGGTGCTACTGTTATAATGAACAGAGTAATTCCCATCACATCAATGCATTGAACATAGCTACACTTAGGGGTTTGCAAAAGGAAAGTTACATCCTATTATTTGGAAAAGAAACGAGTCAGGCAGTGGTGGCACATGCCTTTAATCCCAGTACTCGTGAGGCAGAGGCAAACAGATCTCTGAGTTCATTGCCAGCTTGGTCTACATAGACAGGTTCCAGGACTGGCTCCAAAGCTACCAAGAAACCCTGTCTCAAAACAAAACAAAACAAAAAACAAACAAATAAACAAAACCAAGTCTCTTTGACCAGAAACTGGGACTAAATGAAGGACCTGGCATGAGGACCAGGTTGAATTTTACTCTGTGTTGTTGTGGGCTAAGAAAACATCCAAGAAGCTAGGCTGCAGCTGCCTGACAAGGGCTGTTAAGTTGGTTGCCTCCCTAAGGAAGTGTGGCAGATAAAGCACTGGCAAACAGAGCCTATGGCAGGCACAGGCAACACACTCTTCCTTGGCTATGACAGGCACCAACAACTGAACATCACTCAGCCACAGTAGCTTCCACCATGGCGCTAGTCACACTTCTCTTCACAGTCTAGAAGCTTCCATCAATGGACGGACCTGATACTCAAGTTGAAAGTTGACTGCTGTCTGTGGATGCTAGACCCAGTATTTTAGATGACCCTGGACTCCAGGAGTTCACTGAAATACATCCTCCACTCTGGAACGGAGAAACCCTGTGGTGTGGGGCAAATGAAACAGACCTCTGCTTTCTGAAGGTCTTTGGAAAGCTCCCATGCCAAGTTGGACAATGTCCCCATCTTTCCAAAGTTGACACAGACCAACTCCAGGGACAATGAACATCCTCTGATCAGACCCCACAGCAGTTTTCTCTTTCTTTTTAAAAATATTCATTTGGGCAGTGGTGGTGCATACCTCTGATCCCAGCACTCGGGAGACAGAGGCAGGTGGATCTCTGTGAATTCAAGGCCAGCGTGGTCTACAGCATGAGTTCCAGAATAGGCAGGGCTACACAGAGAAATTCTGTCCTGAAAAAAACAAAACAACAGAAAACAGTCTCTGTGTGTGTGACACACAGGTAAGGAGGTAACTGTGGGAGTGGAGTTGGTTGGAGAGAGAGACACACACACAGGTAAGGAGGTAACTGTGGGAGTTGGTTCTCCCTTCATGTGAGTGCCTGGGATCAATCTCGGATCATCAGGCTTAGCAGAAGTCACCTTTTCCCACTGAGTCATTCATTTCTCTGTCACCACACATTAATCCTTTACTTAAGTCCTACATATGTCTTCAGCTTCTGAGACTCAAAGCCTTGTGCCAGGCTGCTGGGAGCAGAGAGCTCAAGAGAGTCCTAGGGCATTTCCACCCCCAAGAAGGATAACTTCACACCTTCCCCCTGGTACATGAGCTACCTCAAGGGAACCCTAGAGTACAAACTTGAGGCGACTTCTCCAGGCAAGTTCCAGGGTGAAACAGAGACCCCTGGATTCCAGTAGCCTG